ATCTAAGTTACTATACATCTAAGTTACTATACATCTAAGTTACTATATGTCTTATTTGTGTCACTTATGTCACTTGTATATTATTTGTAATTCGTAACCCATTCCCCAAATATGTAACTGTATATTTTCAGCCTTCTGGCTGCCAAGCTCTTTCAATAAACCGTTAATTATTATTATTATTATCCACATGCGTGCACTCACACACTTACTACAGGTAGCAGTGAACCGATGATTCTGCTTAATCCCACAGCGAATTAAAACAGCAGTTTGTGTTGCTTGAAATCAGCGTCTTTAGAAAGAAATCTGTTTAGTATCGGTTACATACAAATGGATTAATCACTCGAAAGGGATTAAACGTTTCAAGATATTATTAGTATAAATTAATGATAAACAAGCAACCTCATAAACAGCCTGCACACAGCTGTGCCCGATGCATGATGTTCTTTAACATACCGATTTTCACTTATGTTTAATTGTCTAAACATAAATTCATATAGGTTGGCCCTTTGCTCTATCCATTTTAAAATCAAATTAACAGTATATACCAGCAGAAAGGTATAATATAATACGAAACAACAAAGCCCAACCATTAATTAAGCAACGGGAACTAAGTAACCAATCACCGATCACTTTTACATTCATTCATAATTTTTACTAAGTAGTATAGTAAACAAATGGCCTTGAGTTGCCAGCTGTCTCCAGCAGTGTTCGAAGAATCTTGAACGAGACTGTACGTGCGTTTGCTGTATACTAGAATATTATACTAATCATACTGGTGGAAAAAATAGATGGGTAAAAATAATTGATGATACAATTGTGTCATATGTCACATATGGTAAAGCGGTAAAATGGGTGACATGACAACATTGCGACTGGCCAGATATAGACTGTTTCAGAATAGGAGGCGCTATGTCACTGTGAATTGGATGGATATAATGAAGTTTAACTAAATCTCAAAAATTATTTTTTAGCTCGCCTCCAAAGTGACGTGATATAAAACTTATCTGTACTTTAACCGACCAATACCAAGTCTGGTATTAAGATAAAATAATAGAAGGTCCAAATCTTAATTCTATATCCTAAGTCTTACAGTAGTTCTGTAATGATCGATAATAATAATACAGTAATATAATACTGAAGGAATGAGTCGCCATGAAGAATGGCTTAGTCCGTGTATGATCACTTATTTGTCAAAGACTGTACACATTGGTGGCATAACGTGCAAATATAAATATTGTTAAAAACAAACCTTGAAAATTTACATGTAGAAAATCAAACATGGATACATAAGGAATAATAGATTGTGGACGAGTCCTTAATTTAGTTCACAATTTAACAGTAAATATTTACACAGTATGTATCTACCTATTTACTGTATACAATGACATTGTACTAATATCTTGGTTTCAAAAGCTACTGTACTTCTGGAATTTCTCAGATAGTATGCTAATTTTATTGTCTATATATTTCAGTGCAATTCTTAAAGCATGCAAAAACTTATTCATGGAAGAGCCTTTCTGGACTGCATATATTAGAGCTTAACTTTTTTTTTTTCAATATATAATGAAACGTTTCTTAATTATACCTAATACTAACCTTTTTCACCATTAGCACCTGGCGAGCCCTTTACTCCAGC